TTTAAAAATACACGTCTAAACTCCACCTCAGATCTACTGAATCAGAATTGCAGCAGGAGGACCACGGATCTGAATTTTAAGTTCAACAGTTGATTTTACACGGATGCAAATCCAAGCTTGAGAACCACTAGATTAGGGCAGAGAAGAAAACAAAAGGAAAGAACCTATTACATTAATAAGGAAATCTAGAACTTCTACGAGAGGACCCCCAAATGAAAAGGGACAAGATTTGGGACAGCGCAGGTATGTTAATTGGGGAATTAAGATTTATTAAATTATGTAGTCTGAGCAAGTAGTATTTTCTACAGTTATGGTAGGGAAGGAGGTGAGAAAAGGAAGGAAAAAGGAAATAGTTTAGATCATGTAACCAAAGATGCAGTGAAGCTAGAGTCAAAACCTAGGACCCAGGCTCAAACTCTGACTCCGTCAAGTATTAGAAGTGCAAAGTTTGAACAAGTCATTTAATGTCTCTGGGCCTCCTTGTCTGTAAAAATAAAAAGAGGGTTATATATACCTCATGGGACTGCTGTGAAGACTGAGAGTATATGAAAGTATTTGTAAACTAGAATGCACTAGACCAGTGTTTTTCAAACTATGGGTTACTACCCAGCAGAATGTTAAGAAATCCATTTAGAAAGTTACAACCAACATTTTTATTTATTTGGCAGTTGGCTGGTACAGAATCAATATTTTTAAAATGAAATAGAATAGAAAATGTTAAGAGTGTACCGTATTTGGGCCAGCCCCATGGCACACTTGGGAGAGTGAGCACCGAGGCTGCGGGTTCAGATCCCATATAGGGATGGCCAGTGTGCTTGCTGGCTAAGCGTGGTGCAGACAACACCGTGCCGAAGGTTGCAATCCCCTTTCCGGTTTAAAAAAAAAAAAAAAAAAAAGAGTGTACCATATTTTATGAGGGTATTACAGTTTTGTAAATTTTTGTTTCACTTATATATAGGTCATGATGTAAATGACATTTTATTGTGACTTGTGTCAAAAAAGCCTCAAAGCCACACCTAAACCTTACTCCCGCCCTCTCCACTTTATGTCCTTACTCTAGAGCAAAGAGAATTAAGTACTTAAACCAGTGGTTCTTACACTTTCTTAGGTCAAGACACTATTGGAAATCTGATAAAAGCTATGAATCCTCTCCTTACAAAAATGTACCCTCACACAAAATTTTCATTGCATACAAATCTGAGATTTCTAAAACCTTGCCATGAATTAGGTTAAGACCTCTTTCTCCTGAAAGAGGACAAAAAATGGAGTTGAACTTTGGGGAAGGTTCAGACAGTTGCTGTCTTATCACCTCCAAAACAGGGGCTTTCCCCAGATCTGGCTGAAGGATGGTCTGCCTATTCAAATAAAAACTATTTTCTTCATTATATCAAATTGTTGACAATGTCAAATTCTCTTTTATTTAAAAAATTTATAATGGGGGTCGGCCAGTGGCTCACTTGGGAGAGTGTGGTGCTGATAACACCAAGGCCACGGGTTCGGATCCCATATAGGGATGGCCGGTTGCTCACTAAGTCAACGTGGTGCTGACAACACCAAGTCAAGGGTTAAGATCCTCTTACCAGTCATCTTTAAAAGAAAAAAAAAATTTATAATGTATTCTTTAACTTCTATTTGGGGACTCACAAAAATATTTGCAGAAGGCTCTCAAACTGTGCCCTATGTTCCTGAAAATGGGGTAAAGCTAATTACAGCTAATGTACCTATTTAAGAGTCAGCCTGCATTTCATTGAAATATTTCTCTAAATAAATACAACAGATTTTACCAACTTAGCTAGCTTGTTCTCCTTTAACTCAAATGACACTGTATTTTCCAAGCAACTCTAATAAAGAGACAGCAATCAGTTTTCACAGGCACTGATAAAAGTATCCAAGTTTACGCCCAACATGTCCTTGCCTTTCAAGCCATAGTATGTTCATTTAATTTTTTTCAAAAAGAATAACTGAATTTGCCTTTTTCATTTTTGTCATTTTACTGATAAATTTTTTAATGGATTTTGGTATTAGTTCGGTGATCCATAAGAAAGTTACAAAGAATTTATAATTCTTTTTGTGGCTAGCCAGTCCAGGCATCTGAACCCTTGACTTTGGTGTTATAACACCACACTCTAGCTAACTGGTCAGACCTAGAGAGAAATTTTTTTAAACGATATTTTATTTTCTGGCAATTTTTAAATTATAAAATAACAAGCACTTATGTTCCAAATAGTGAAACAGATACTATGTATTCAAGGATTAATAAGATTTGGTCCCTGACTAAATGGCTATAGACACCTAAAACAATTACAGTAGTATAATAATTGCTAAGTGTGGAAACACAAAAGAAGGGTAATTTCTCCAAACTTGGAAGTGGTAATGGTGATGAAAGGAGTCAAGAAAGACATCCCAGGGACTCACTTGGGAAAGCGTGGTGCTCACACCACCAAGTCAAGGGTTAAGATCCCCTTACTGGTCATCTTTGAAAAAAAAAAAGAAAGAATTCATAAGTCAGAATAAAAAATCAAAGTGAAGAAAAGTAGGAGAGAAAACATAAGAAAATTAGAGAACTTGTTCAGAAGGTCCATTATATGAATAATAAGAGCTCCCAAAATTGAGAACAGAACAAAATAGAGGGCAAAATATAATTAATGTAATAATTCAATTAACCTTCACAAGGTTAAAGGGCATGATTGCCGTATTTAAAAAGTTTGCCAAGTGCCTACCACAATGAATAAAAACAGACAGACGACAAGGCGCATCACTGAAATTTCAGAAACTGAACACAAGAAAAGATCCTACAAGCTTCCAGAGAGAAAAAAGTTCACATACAAATGATCAAGAATCAGAATGCCTTTCAGACTTACCAGAAATAGGACCCACTCAACTGTTGATCAACTGTGAGAATAGAATAAATATATTTCAGACAGAAAAATCTCAAAATAATTACCTCCTAGAATGATGCAATTAGAAAACATATTTCACTTTACAAATACCCATGCAATAATTGATACTGGCAAGGATCATAAATATATGTTAAAACCATTGGATAAAAGGCTATTGAAAAATAAGATATTCTTATAGTCTTAAAAAAAAATCACCTCACAGAATACATATTATCAAAGGTAAAAGGGTAGTTTTACATTATCAAAGGTAAAAAGGTAGTTTTACAATGGAGAAATGCAGCGGACACCATCTTAACTAAGTGTTGAAAGTAAACATCACCGGGCCGGCCCGTGGCTCACTCGGTAGAGTGCGGTGCTGATAACACCAAGGCCCCGGGTTCGGATCCCAAAGGCTATTGAAAAATAAGATATTCTTATAGTCTTAAAAAAAAATCACCTCACAGAATACATATTATCAAAGGTAAAAGGGTAGTTTTACAATGGAGAACTGCAGCGGACACCATCTTAACTAAGTGTTGAAAGTAAACATCACCAATATAAAGACAATCTGACATTATATCCCTTCTAATGTGACACAATTGGAGGTATACAATGCTATGCACGTAGTATTTTTGACAAAAATGGTTAATTTGAATCTAATCATGATGAAACAATCAGATGAACCCACAATGTAGGACATTTTACAAGATAACTGGCCTAGGCTCTTCAAAAATGTCAATGAAAAACAAATGCCATAAAAAACAAAAGGGCAAAGTGATTATTCTAGATTAAGAAGACTAAAGACACTTGAGGACTAAATGAAAGCATGATTCTTGATGGATCATGAATTAAAACACATTGGACTGGCTGGTTAACTCAGTTGCTTAGAGCATGGTGCTGATAACACCAATGTCCAGGGTTTGATCCCTGTACCAGCGAGCTGCTAAAAAATGAATAAATAAAATAAAAATTTTAATTAAAAAAAATAAAAAATAAAACACATGCAGTTACAAAGGATATTACTGGGACAAGTGAGACAACTTAAAATGGACTATATACTAGATATTATTGTATGTATGTTAAATTTGGGGGGGTTCTAATGATAAGTAATTAACTAGGAGAATGTCCTAGTTCTTAAGAGAAACATGCAG